CTGAATAAAATGAAAATTAATATATTGATTCACACATAAACTTGCTGGCAGACATCGATGAATGTAAACACTTAAACATTATATATACATACATACATTTTTTTTTCCAACAGCCATTTATTCCACTGCAGGACATAGGCCTCTCTCAGTTCACTATTGAGAGGTTATATGGCAGTGTCACCCTTACCTGATTGGATGCCCTTCCTAATCAACCGCGGTACCGCGCGCTAACACTTGTGCCACGGCGGTGACTTCCTCTACGACACCTGCGTTTGGCTTCTCAAGGCGATATGTCATTTTTACAACCGCCGCGACGGGGAATTGAACTCGGGACCACGAGGGTCAGAGTCCAGTGCTTTAACCACTGGACCATCGCGGCAGTCACATACTTACATACATGCATATATATATAGTATATATATATATATATATATATATATATATATATATATATATATATATATATATATATATATATATATATATATGTATATATATATTCAGTTATATATATATATATATACATATATATATATATATATATATATATATATATATATATATATATATATATATATATATATATTCAGTTATATATATATATATATATATATATATATATATATATATATATATATATATATATATATATATATATATATATTCAGTTATATATATATATATATGTATATATATATATATATATATATATATATATATATATATATATATATATATATATTTAGTTTTATATATATATATATGTATATATATATATTCAGTTATATATATATATATATATATATATATATATATATATATATATATATATATATATATATATATATATATGTATATATATATTCAGTTATATATATATATATATATATATATATATATATATATATATATATATATATATATATATATATATATATATGTATATTCAGTTATATATATATATATATATATATATATATATATATATATATATATATATATATATATATATATATATTCAGTTATATATATATATATATATATATATATATATATATATATATATATATATATATATATATATTCAGTTATATATATATATATATATATATATATATATATATTTAGTTTTATATATATATATATATATATATATATATATTTATATATATATATATATATTTAGTTATATATATATATATATATATATATATATATATATATATATATATATATATATATTTATATATTCATACATATATATATTTTTTTTTAGTTACTTATGCACACACACACACACACACTACAACCACAGACACACACACACATACACACACACACACACACACACATATAAATGTATGTATGCACATATACACACACACAAATATATATGGATTGATGACCATCATCAATCCAACAATCCTTGTTGGAATTCCTCTTAGTCTCAAGATCTCCCAGAGTGATTCGCGATGCACCGTATCAAACGCCTTCTTGAGGTCGATGTAGGCTGCAAGCAGCCCACGACCGAACTTACGACGGCGCTCCTCAGTGACTCGAAGCGCCGGGATGCGTTCTATTGTGGAATTACCAGGAGTGAATCCAGATTGCTCCGGCCTTTGGTGCCTCAGCAGGTGGTCTCAGTAGGATGTGAGCGAGTGCCTTGCCTGGTATACTGAGTAGTGTAATGCCTCAGTGATTCCCACCGATCCCCTTTCCCCTTCCAGAGAGGGATGACCACACCCCTCAGCAGGTCATGGGGAATGGTACTGGTCTGCCAGAGGGTACACAGGACTGCATGCAAGCCCCTTGCCATAGGTTCTCCACCAGCCTTTAACAATTCAGCTGGGATGCCACAAACACCTGCTGCTTTGCCACTCTTCAGCTTGGAAATCGCCCCCCTTACTTCAGTCAGGGAGAGTGGATCCTCACTGATGGGTGGGTCTAACAGAGGAATCTCAACATTACCTGCGTCCAAGTTAACTGTTGGTGGATCAACCTGATACAACTGCTCAAAATATTCAGCCCAACGCACACACACCCCATCAGTTCTGAGATTATCTGGCCACTTGCTGAGCGGACTGCAGTCGTCTGTGAGGAGGGCTTGGAGTTCAGCTTTCTCAGGGCTTGGTAGGCAAGGCGAAGGTCATTTACTAGGAAATGGCTTTCGACTTCCTCTGCAAGATTACTGATAAACTGTTCCTTATCCCTTCTCAACACTGTTGAGAAGGGATAAGGAACAAGAGAATAATCAAGCCGCACAACAAGCATCTGTGGCTTCCAGTGTCTCCTGCGAGATGGAATTCTGTCTTGCCCTTGGGCATTCACCAATGAATTCATGGGCTACATCAAGCGTTTCACATTTGAAGGTGTCCCACAGAAGAGCAGGGTCTGTCAGGCTCTTAAGTGTTGTGAAACGACCAGAGATAGCCTCAGCGATCCCCAGGGCACACTCATCCTCCCTCAATCTGTCCAAATGAAACACCCTAGGGTGTTCATTTGGGCGGTGGGGGATTCTGAAGTGGAACCAGAGAGTAGCCCCAACTAATCTATGATTGGTTCCACAGAACTCGGTGCTTCGATACACCCTGCCGTTCTCCATCGTGTGCTAACAAGGATGTGGTCGATCTCCTTGGCCACGCTACCCATATGGCTGTACCAAGTCCAACGATGCGGGTCAGAACGCTGATACCAGGAGCCAGAAATCCTCAATTTCTGGGACTTAGCAAAATCACGGAAAAGGAGGCTATTCTCGCTGCCAGCATCAGCTCCTGAGCCATGAGGACCGACAGACAGACAATGCCAGATACCGCATTGAAGTCACCCAGAACAATACGAATATCTCGCCGAGAACAGCTGTCTATCACAGATGCAAGTTTGGCGTAAAACATCTCATTCACCTCAAATTTATATACATCCGGAGGAATGTACACAGCAATAAGAGACATGAAGCCAAATGAAAGCTTCATTCTCAATACCATTATACTCTCATCGACTGGAGTGACCTCTACTACCGAGGGTTGAAGTCTGCTGGAGATGGCTATAGCTACTCCCTGGAGATGGTGGCCATCGCTGCGGCCCAACCAGTAATAAGTGTAGCCACCCACACTAATCGTGCCGCTGCCAGGTTTTCTCACCTCCGCGGCAGCCACCTCAACTCTCCGCTGCTTCAATTCCCTTTACTTGTCGCAAGGAACGGACGTTCCACGCCCCTACTTTGACAGCCTGCCTGAGGTCTAACCTCGGGCAGTCACTCCGTGTGAATGTATATGTATATATGTATATATAATATATATATGTATATATATATAATATACATAATATATATATGTATGTATATTATATATATATATATATATATATATATATATATATATATATATATATATATATATATATATATATAAATATATTATATATATATGTATTGTAAGCGTAAGTGATCACCGCAAACCACCAGATACAAGTATATTTATTTATTTATATATATATATATACATATATATACATATATATATATATATATATATATATATATATATATATATATATATATATATATATACATATATATATATATATATATATATATATATATATATATATATATATATATATATATAATATAATCCATGTGTGTTGTGTGTGTATCTCTACCTTATCTATCTTGTCTATCTACTCTCTCTCTCTCTATCTCATCTTCATCTCGTATCTACTGTCAATCATCTATATTATATTACTATCCGAATGATATATATCATAATCTATCTGTATTATTATCTTATAATACATGTGTAGTTGTGTTTATGTATCGATAACATCTCTATTCTCCATCTCTCTATCTCTATAATCTTATCTATCGATCTATCTATTTTCATCATCTACTCTCATCCATGGTTGTGTGTATTATATCCTAAATCTCTATCTATATCATATATACCTCTCTAATATTCTATTATTATCTCTACTTATCTTGTACAATATTATATCTATTCGAAGATATTATATGATCCAATCTATCTATACATATATTATAATATATATTACTATAAACCATATCCATATTACTACATACTTCTACGCCCCTACTTTGACACCCGCCTGAGGTCACTCGAGCATCAATCCGTGTGAGGCTATTATATATGTATAGTACTATATATATCATATGAGAATATATGTTATATATATATATATATTATCTATATATATCTTATATATATGTATACATGTATATGTATGTTGAGATGTATAGATGATATATATTTATATATCGTTTCTTATATTATGGATTGTATATATATATAATATATATCTATATATATTCTATCTTATATATATTTTAATCTATATATACTATATATATATGTTCTATATAGATCACACACACACACCCACGTATTGTATATTATATCTATATTACTTAATTATATCTCCTCTATTATATATATCCTTATAATATCTATAATATACATATATAAATACGTTTATTGTGTGTGTGTTTGTGTATATATCCATATGTATTATATAAACATATATATCTATTTATTTATATATATTATACACACACACACCACACACACCACACGTATTATATACATGTAAGATCTATATCGATATATATATATATATTATATATATATATATAGCAATATATAATATATATATGGTTACATGTATGATATACATACGGGTTTTTTTGGTTTGGGGTGTGTGTGTGTTGTGTTGCATATATTTATAATATGATATATATTATCTATATATAATAATGTATTATATATATATATACTCCACACATAACCACCACCACCTATTATATATTGTATATAATATATATTATAGATATATTATATATATATATATATTTATCTATATATAATATATATATGTACATATATATGATACTATAATATAGATACACAGTATAATATTATATATATTATATATAATATCTATATATATTATATATGATTATATATAGATATATATATAATACGTGTGTG